ACTATTTATACAGAATCCTAACTTTTATATTGCTCGAAAAATACAAATATCCTTAATAAATTCTAAAAAATCAATTTATCGATTCTTGCAAACCGATAGCATTTCTAGTGACCTCGCGCATCACGCTATTAAGGAACATGCGAGAAGTGTCGCTCATTATCCACATGTTTGTCACCTACAAGATCCGATATTCGCGAAGGAGCGAGAAATACACGCAGGTAACAGGACGAACAGTACGACATCTCTGCCGGCAAACTCGACGGGAAGATGTGTCGGTTCTTTGGACAGAAGGCGACGCAGATTCCGCAGTAGAGTGGATCGCGATCAAAGAGCTATGTCTCATAGTGATCTGCTTTGCCATGAGAGGGAGAAACCGCACCACTACTGCTCACTGCAACAATTTCATTGCGGAAGCAATATGTGCCTAAATAATTATCATAACAAGACCGAGGTATACTGTATAAAAGAACTTTCAATAAAACTTTCAACTGTGTACCATAAATATGAATTCTTCCTTAATCCTTATTTTAATAATATAATATTTACATGTATTTCAAAATAATGAAATTTTTCATTAATAAAGGATATTAATGATCGTTTTATTGATTTATTTTCCAGGAACGATTGAGAAAGTTGGAAAGTGAACGTGGAGCATTACATATGGAAGTATCAGTTTTGTCTGAACAGGTTGACGCACAATCGAATAAGATTCAAGAACTGGAGAGCTTACTTCAGGAAAAGAAAGATACTTTGAGACAGATGGAAGATGCGCTACAGAAGGTAAACTATCTCATGATGGGACTTATCAATTTAGAACTTTACATGTTTGTTTTTATAGGAAGTTTTATCAAGAAGCGCTTTGGAGACGCAGAAATTGGAACTTCTTACCTCCTTGTCCGAAATGAAACTCAGACAGGCCAGTTTGGAACACGAAAATCTATCACTGCGCAATACAAGTCCTTTATCGAATGTTAGTACATATTTTAACAATTAATATATTTTATAATATTAAATTCTATGTTACTATAAGATACCGTGTATACAGGATACCGTGATAAAATTTACTAAGCAGTTTTATGTCTACAGGGTGAAAGATTCAGCAGACATACGGGTCAATATAGTAGTCTTCCTAGGCCACCGACATCCAAGAAAGGCGTTGTATTTGGTAAGGTTCCAAATTTAGTCTCGGGAGCGCATACGACGGTACCCTTGGCTGTCAGGGGAGTCTCTGCGAGATGTCTGTCCGCTCCTATTCTAGGTTCCGATCGATCTTTATTTAAGCATGCGGTGTCACGCTATAATATGTTTAACGATGAACACGTTTATCTCAATATTAATTGACTCGAGTAACAGCATGTTGCGATTAATTGAAAAAGTAACTTCGCTTGCAAATCATTAATAGTTGATGCGCATGCATTTGGACATTATTATATTCTTTAAGCCTTCATAGTTTAAATTAATTTTTATAAACATATAAATATTGTGCTTCTTTTTTATTTTAATTTTGATAATTTGATCACTTTGTGGAATTTTATGGAACCCAAATATAGTTTACTGATTATAATTATGTATAATGCTTTGATAAGAAAAGTATTTGAAGAATACGAGTAAAATTGCCACAAAGAATCTCGAAATTAATGCAGTATCATGCAAAAGATCATATATACATATAATTATTTAACATTCATAACTATGCTGTATATAATTTTATAAACAAACATTATCATCGTAGCGGAAGAAACGAAAATCGTAATTAGTGAGATGAACGTGCAAGAATTATCACCACCGAAACCGCTCGCAGAACTTAGTATGGAAGAAGTTAGTGATTGGTTGGTTCACCTTAGTCTGGAATGTTACGCCGGTGAGTTGAGACGATGGGGTGCCACTGGATCGAAACTGCTCGACGCCACACAGGTTCAACTAGAAAAAGAGCTCGATATAAAGAATGCTCTGCATAGGAAAAAATTACTCTATGCTATCGAATCAGAGAGAAGCAACGGCGCTGGATTTCTCGGTTCTCACAAGGTTACAATCGTTATATATAACTTCATCGAGTTATCTCTGAAGTATCAGAGAGAATAAAGTATTTTCATTCTCAGATTTTCTTAGATGAGAAAATCTCTTTGAGAATAAAGATCTTTTTTAATATCTCGTAGATGGATAATGCAGCCGTGTTACGGTGGCTAGACGATATCGGATTGCCACAACACAAGGAAGCTTTCCACAATGCCAAGATCGATGGTAGAGTTTTACATAGATTGACCACAGAGGATCTCTTAAATCTTGGAGTGACTGCACAGTTGCACGCTGCCAGTTTAAGACGTGGAATTCAGGTACTTTACAATGTAATAATTAATAGTGTAAGCTTATAATATTCAGAATTACATATTGTTCGCAGAATATGAACTAATAGTAATGTCAATGTTATAATTTTCTTCTCAACAATATAACCTATATAACTGTTATATATAATATGTATCATATCAAATATTTATATTGTTGAGTGAGGAATTATAATATTGACGTAATATTACTATTAGTTTGTGTTCTACGGGATATCGACCATAAATTTGGAGTCAATATTTAAAACGAGATACAAATCGTGTAGGTTTTACGAGATTTAAGTTTCGAGTTTGACAATTTGGAAAGAAGATCTGTGACTGGGAACGGTGCCGATGGTACGAATGTGAGTCTCTGGACGAATCATCGTGTGATGGAATGGCTACGAGTCGTGGATCTTGCAGAGTACGCACCGAACATGCGTGGCTCCGGTGTTCATGGCGGTTTGATTATTCATGAAGGTCGATTTACTTCCGAGTTGCTCGCTACATTGCTCAGCATTCCACCAGCAAAAACTTTACTTCGTAGACACCTAACAACGCATTTCAATCAAATTCTCGGCAGAGAGGTAGTTCAACAAAAGCGAGAGATAGAGAGCACTCTCGGATTTGTTCCATTGACGCTTACTGCTAGATTAAAGGTGCGTTATATTTTTCCCATGCTAAAGAATACAATAAAAATTCTTGCAACCTTGTAATTATTTCCTATATCTATCTTATTATGATGTTAATACTTTTTTACAGTAAATAATTATTATATTTTATCCACAGGTACCAAAGAAATCTCAATTCACACTGAAACGCAAGAAGAGTAAAAACGAGATAGATTTCGGCAATTTGGTTTGTCCATTGGAAGCGTCACCACCAGGTACCCCATCAACGCCCTCGTCAACACCGGGCAGTCCTAACTTGAACTCACCCACATTCTAACCACAATTTAAAGCTTCATTCGGGTAATCATCTAAACTAACTTGTAAGTCTAACTCGACTAATGATATTAATGATCATATCATGATCATATCATGATCATATCAAGATTACTTTTATAAATTGTGTACATCATATTTTTATTTCTAGAAAAATTATTTTTTTGTTAAATACTTCATCTTGAGTATAAACGACATATAAAGATTAT